TTTGCGTCACCACTACGTTCCCTGGACACGAGCGGTACGCTGTCTGTACCGAGGCCGCCACTGGTGCCCCCCTGTCCACGTTCCCCCGAGACCCGGTGTCCGGTCTCTTCACACAAGACACGGTGACCCCCCCGGCTGGGACCCCCCCACAGGTGACAGCGTCTCTCCTAGTTGCTGCTGCCTGCTCCTGTCGGTCTCTCACTCACCCGACTCTTCTCTGGCACCACCGCGTAGGTCACCCTGTGCTCCCGCGTCTGCGTCACATGTCACAGCACGCTCTCGTCCTAGGCCTCCCCGGGTCGTTCCCTGAGTTTCCCTCCTCCCCAGCCCCACCGTACACGCCCTGTGTCGAGGGCCGGCTCCGCCGTACCCCTCACTCCTCCTCGTTTCCCCCTACTGCAGCACCGCTACAGACGCTGCACATGGACGTCTGGGGCCCCGCCCCCGTCCATGGGCCGCGTCGAGAACGCTACTTCCTAGTGCTTGTCGACGACTACACGCGCTACACCACTGTGTTCCCCCTGGAGCGGAAGGCCGACGTGCCTGCCGTTCTTATCCCGTGGCTTGTCTCTGCGCGTGTCCACCGCGGTCTCCCTGTCTTGCGTCTCCACTCCGACCGTGGTGGCGAGTTTGCCTCTGGTGTCCTTGGTCGTTTCTGTCGTGCGGAGGGCATCACCCAGACGTTCACCTTGTCGGACTCCCCGCAGCAGAATGGGGTCGCTGAGCGACGCATCGGTTTGGTCATGGAGGTGGCTCGCACCTCCATGATCCATGCTGGTGCACCCCATTTTCTGTGGCCGTTCGCCGTTCGCTAAGCCGCTCACCAGCTTAACCTGTGGCCGCACCCCCAGCAGCTTCAGGTTTCGCCGACCCTCCTCTGGTCTGGGTCACCTGGTGACGTGTCTGCGTTCCACGTCTGGGGCTTCCTTGCTCACGTTCATGCCTCTAGCACGGACAAGCTCACTGCCCGCACCCTTCCCTGTGCCTTCCTCGGCTTCCCCCTTGACGCGTCTGACTGGCACTTCTACCACCCGCCGTCTCACTGGTTCTTTCACTCCCGTGACGTCACGTTTGACGAGTCCGTCTTATTCTTCCGCCGCTTCCCCTACCGAGGTCCCCCGGTTACCCCCCCCCTGTTCCTGGTCACCCCTTCCCCGGTCGTCGCCGCCCCTCCTCCTCCCCCTCCCCGTCCTGCCCCCTCTGGTGTGTCCCACGTCACCCCACTTACGTCAGTTGTCCCGGTTGAGGAGTCTGCTGACTCTGGTGGTCCTGCGGCGCAGTCCTCGCCGCCTGCCCCTTCTCAGGTGTCTCCTCCTTTGCCGCCTCCGCAGCCGCCATCGCCATCGCTGTCGCAGACATCGTCACCGCCGCCACCACCGCCGCAGCCGTCGTTGCAGCCGCCGCCGCAGCAACCGTCGCCACAGCATTTCGTTGCCTCTAGGGGTGCTGCAGTTGGGGTGGGTACTAGTCCTGGGACTCCTGCCGTGGCTTGTCCCGGCAGGCCTGGGGGTGGTACCGGTGCTCGAGGGGTTCTGAGCTCTGGGGGTGTTCCTTCTGGGGGTGCGGGCGTGGAGTGTTCTGGAGGTAGCCGCCAGGCAGCTTGCGGCGTTGGTGTCACACCACCACCGCAGCAGTCCCCGCCGGTGTCCGCTCTTCGCCTGCTCGGCCTTCCGTCCCCTGACCCGGTACCTGTACCTCCTCCTCCTGTCTACGGCCCTGTGTTCCTTCCTTCGGACTCGTCTCCGGCCCGTTTCCCCGCTCGTTCCCCTCTTGTGTCCCCTCCTCTGTCCCCTGACCCGACTCCTCCGTCTCACGTCTGGTCTCGCCGTCCCTCCCGTGCTCGACCTGTCTCCCCTGTCTCGCGCTCTCACCCTATGTTGCTTCGTTCCCACGCGTCTCGTCCTCCCCTTATCCCGTCGCCCCCTCCGTCCTCCCTTGTTGTTGCTCCTCCCCCTCTGTCTGACTACCTGCGTGCCGCTCGTCCTCTTGTTCCTCGGGTCCTTGCCTCTCTCGTTACCGACGCCTCTATTCCGGTTTCGAGCCTTGACTGCCCTTGTCGCAACGGTCGCTAACTTCACCTCTACCCGCCGCCTTGATTACGCCACCGCTCTGGTCTTTGACCATGCCTATCCTCCGTCTGTTGGGGGTGCTCCTGCCCTCGTCAGTGACGTCCTGGAGGACCGCCAGTTCGAGCTTGCTTTCCAGTCCGAGGCTGCTCCCCATCTCTGCTCTATGCTTCTAGTCCCTGAGGGTGACCCCGACGCTTTCGACATCCCAACCCCTCGCACTTACGCTGAGGCGGTCTCGGGACCCTGGGCCTCTCAGTGGATAGCTGCCATGGAGCAGGAGATGGCATCTTGGAGATCCACCGGCACCTACGTCGACGCAGTTCCCCCGCCTGGGGTGAACGTAGTCGATGGCCGCTGGCTCTTCAAGGTGAAGCGCCCCCCTGGAGAGCCGCCTATGTTCAAGGCGCGCTACGTGGCTAGAGGTTTCAGTGAGCGTGAGGGGGTGGACTTCTTCCAGACCTTCGCTCCGACCCCGAAGATGACTACTCTTTGGGTGCTGCTATACGTACCAGCACAGCGTGACTACGAGCTTCAATCCCTCGACTTCTCCACTGCGTTTCTTCAGGGCAGTCTACACAAGCAGGTCTACCTGCGCCGCCCTCAGGGCTTCACTGGTACCTTCCCTCCTGGGACCCAGTGGCTCTTGCGGCGCCCTGTCTACGGCCTGCGGCAGGCTCCCCGTGAGTGGCACGACACGCTGCGTGCTACGCTTGCTGACCTGCAGTTCTTTCCGTCCTCTGCAGACCCCTCGCTCTTCGTTCGTGCTGGCCAGACCCCGTTCTACATCCTTGTTTACGTAGACGACCTGGTCTTCGCCACATCAGACAGGGACGCATTGGCCTCCGTGAAGACAGAGCTGCTGAAGAGACACACTTGCACTGACCTTGGAGAACTGCGCCACTACCTTGGCTTGCAGATCTCTAGGGACAGAGCAGCGCACACCATCACTTTGACTCAGTCTCACTTGGTGCGCCAGGTCCTTTAGAGGTTCGGCCTTCAACTCTCCTCCGCACAGCCCACTCCTCTGCCTCTAGACCACAGGCTCTCCGCTCCACTTCCTGAGGAGTCAGCAGAGCCCAGTGGTCCTTATGCAGAGCTGGTGGGTTGTCTCATGTACCTGATGACTTGCACTCGCCCAGATCTCGCATACCCTCTCAGCATCCTGGCTCGCTTTGTGGCTACAGACAGATACCGACCTCAGCACGGGTCTGCCGCTAAGAGGGTTTTGCGTTATCTTGCAAGTACATCGGGCATGGGGTTAGTGCTAGGAGGACGCAGGCCAGTGGTCCTTACTGGACACACAGACGCTTCTTGGGCAGACGACGCCGAGACCCTCAGGTCCTCGCAGGGCTACTGTTTCAGCCTTGGTTCAGATGCCGTCTCGTGGAGAGCTACCCGCTCCTCGCCTGTTGTCCAGTCCAGCTATGAGGCCGAGATCTACGCTGGTGCCATGGCGGCATAGGAGCTCCGCTGGCTGACCTTCTTGCTCACTGACTTAGGTGAGCGGCCTAGCTCTGCCACGGTCCCGTACGCTGACAACAGGGCCATGATCCTCCTGTGTCAAGAGCCTCGACTCGAGGGGAGAGCGAAGCACATCCAGCTGCGGTACTTCCTCCTGCGTGAGCTCTAGCAGCGCCGCGAGGCGCGCGTAGTACACTTGGCCTCCGGTGCCAACACAGCTGATATCTTTACGAAGGCGCTTGCTCCTAAAGATCATCAGCGGCACTGTGTACAGCTAGGTCTCGTTCCTGTAGCCTCTCACTTGCTAGGGCCTTGACTTTGTACTGTCCTTTATATATATGTTTTACCCTGACTGGCCTTGTGGCCTCTCCCAGTGGCTGGACTAGTAGTGCCGCCCTGGTCTTGCTCTTGTCTTGTCTGTACTCCTTTGACTAGTCTTTAGATCCTTGTCTCAGAGGCTGGACTAGTAGTGCCGCCTTGAGCTGCTTCTTTCCCTATTAGGCACTGCCCCTATATAGTCTAGGGGGTGTGTCAAATGTAACTTAGGTCGTTACTGTAGACTATACTGGGTTGTGCCTTAGAGGGTACAACGCCATAGTCTATATACCCTTGTACTTACACATTCTAGTTCAATTATTTGTTATGATATTGTGCTTCTATGTTGTAAACGGATTGTTTCAATATCGTTTTTTGTTTTATTGAGAGGTCATTATGCCTCGTAATATTGCTCTTGTTTTTGCTACATGATTAATGAGTCCTAATTGAAATATGTTGGTTTAGATGGAAAACTTCTTTCCTGTTTGGTATTTTCATGTAACACAGGGGCTAAGTTCGCACATATTTCTACTCGCTGGTTATGTCTTCGCCCAGCGCTTTCCTATGTCGCCTCGATTCGCCTGTTTTCCCGCCAGTTTTCTTTTTCTCACAAAGCCAGAACTCGGCGCGCTTATGACACTCACTCGCGTTTTCCTTGTCTTAGATATTTGTTTGATGGGCGTAGCAGACTCGAAGCTTTTGGATCCAGCTCCCCGACTTGGCGCGCGGCGTCGTTGTCTCCCATCCTCGCATCGCCGTCGCCACCGTGTCGCCTCCCGCCTGTCCGCGCCCACATGCCGCTGCTCGTCGCATTCGGCCTTGCTGAGCCTCGTCGCCCACACGCGCGCTCATGCCGAATCGAGACTGGAACACGCGGCGAAGCTATTCTCGTTACAGCGACGTGAATACTACGTACATTCAGCGCTCATCCCCCGCAATAGGCACTTCGAGGCCCTTCCAAGCAATAACTCCGTCCCTCCCCGTGGGTCCACGCGCCACTCGCCGCCTCGCAGCCAGCCACGGGTTCGCCTTCCGCGACTTCGCACCCGCCTCCCACCTCGCATCGCCGTCGCCAGTCGCCCCCCTGCTTGTCCGCCCCTAACGCCTGTCCGCGCCTAGCGCCTGTCCGCGCCTAACGCATATCCGCGCCTTGTTAGGGTGGTTCGCCACTGCCCTACTGTCCTATTCCTATGCCTAATGAGGATGCAGCGATGCTAAGGACGGTGTGAGGACCGCCCATCTCGTTCCAAGGGAAGTGGTGTTGAAATAGCAAGGCGGATGTCAAGGGAAAGAATGACGACGGGAAGAAAAACGGGAATCCTAACTGCAGCGGCGGAAGTGGCGGAACAGCGGTGGAGCTAGGAAAATCAGCAAGGAAGAAATTGAAGAAATCGGTAGAAGAAAACCTAAGAAAATAAGGTGCTTGAGGTTGCTCTAGGTGATGCGTGCGTGCGGGGAAACGGTAGATCTACTTTCTGTTGCCTTGCAGGAAACTCCAGCCAAGACCAGCGGGAGAAACAAGCTGTACGAAAATTCTCCAACACAGACCCGGAGCGCGTTCAGCTGAATTCCGGAGAACCGAACTCGGGGTCGGTTTCGGACTTGGTGTCGGTTACCGAAATCCGTTTCCGTGATTGCCAGAATTCCGTGGTTGGCAGAATTCCGTGGTTGCACAGTACACCAGCCGCGTTACGCGAACCGCGCAAGCTTTCTGCCTGCTTATAAATGCTTGTTTGTTTCTTGTTCAAATACAACTCATTTTTCAGTGCAAATTCTCCCCTAGAAACTGCTGAAACTTTCTACGTCAACTCAGTCTCTCCAACGTCAGCCGGAGGCGCTTGCGAACCTATAGCTGGTATCAGAGCCTCGTTATAGTCACATTACGCCTCACTATAAGGGCGTTGGAGTTGTGGAAGTCCTAAGTGCCTTGTAGAGGCAAAGGGGGAGTTGGAGCCATGGGGAATGGAGATGCTGAGGCTAGTTCAGGGTCATCCGTGAACCCTGGCAGCTCTCAAATGCAGAGTCTCCTGGATGCTCTTGCTCAAGGGCATGTGGTGGCCAAACCGACGATTGGCCTGAGTGAAGCGCAACGCTTCAACGGAGTGAACTACGGCACTTGGAGGCTGAAGTTCATGAGGCGCGCAAGGGAGGTGGGGCTGTGGCATCTCTACCACCCTTCGGCAGCAACGGAGGAAGATGGTCCTCCACCTGAAACCGCACAAGAGAAGAAGGCATACAAGAAACGGTGTTTGCAAGCATTTTTCCAACTCTGTCACTCCGTTTCCGATGGCATTGCTGGAGGGTTGGACAAGTTTGCTGGAGAAGAAAATGCAGCAGAGAACGCATGGCTCTTCATGGAAAAAATATACATGGGGAAGAGTGAAGCAAAGATGGCTGCTATAAAGAAGAAGCTTCTATTGCTACGCAAGGAGCCATCAGAGACCATGGTGGACTATGTGACTCGAGCACGAGGCTACAACGACGATTTGATTGCCATGGGCGTGCCAGAAACAGAGAGGCAGATGATGAGCTACATCATCAGCGGCCTGCCAAGGGAGTGGGCATCTGAGAAGGGCACCCTGACCTGCCGGCATCCCACCGACTTGACAGACCTCTTGGATGACTTGCAGCAGTTGGAGCTGATCCGAGCGGACGATGAACGCAAGGATGCCATGGCTGAAAATTCCAGCAGTGACAAACCTGCACTTCTGAATGCAACCGGGACAACAAGGACATTTGGGCCATGTTTCCAGTGTGGAAAGAAGGGCCACAAAGCTGCCGATTGCTACTCCAACCCAAGGAGCAAGAATTTCAAAGGGATGGGAGCAACCGGACAAGGAACCAGCGAAGGAGCAAGTGGAGATGAACAACGGCTGCGAAGCGGGTTTGCTGGAACGTGCAACTATTGCCACAAGTATGGCCACAAGGCAATATACTGCTACTCCAACCCTACAAGCAAAAACTACAGGGGTGGACAGCAGCAGTACAAACCTCATTCACCTGCGAAAGCCAATGTTGCAGAGGCGAACAACGGCAATGAAGACGTGATTCTTGGAGGTGCACACAAGGCCAATGTTGCACGTGCTTCTGGAGCGTGCCTGCTAGCAACAGGGCTGAAGGGACAGGAGTGGTACATGGACAGTGGATGTACCCAACATATGACCAATCAAGAAGGTTGGCTGCAAGATTTCAGAGCTTCTACGGTCCCATATGTGCTGCTGGAAGATGAAGGGCAGCTTCCAGTGAAAGGGGAAGGAGATATGGTGTTACAAGGGGCATATGGAGAGTTAAAGTTGGACAGCGTGTTGCTGGTGGACCGATTGACTCTGAATCTACTCAGTCAATCACAGCTGGACAGCAGCGGATGCAAGACCTACAGTGACAAGGGGCGCCTATGGGTGTTCGGCCCTGACTGGAAGGTGCTAGCGGAAGGCGCACGCAAGCAAGGGCTGTACGAGATGAAGCTACATGAAAAGCAGAAAGATGGTGCAAGATCTACATACCTTGCTGAACCGGAGGAAGGGAAGACAGCAAGGGACGAGCTTCGTACTATGCTAGAGAAGACGCCCATCAAGGAACTCCAGCAGCAAGCTTCTCCCAAGGCAGCAACGGTGACACCAGTGGACGTCAACCTGCTGCACCGAAGGCTAGGGCACGCTGGACATACGCGCATCAATGAGTTGATTAAGAAAAACATGGCAGTGGGAGTGAAGGTGACAGAGGATACAGAAAAAGAGCTGAGTTGCACCTCCTGCGTGGAAGGAAAGGCTACCAAGACTTCTCACCCCAAGCATGAGGTTCGGGAGCCATACAACATACTTGACATCGTGGCTGCCGACGTTTGCGGGCCTATGAGGGTGGCTTCCCGACATGGCAGCAAGTACTTTGTTACCTTCACCAACCTTGGCACACGACATACATGGGTGACGGAGATCAAGAACAAATCTGAAGTGTTCGCAAGCTTCCTCGACTGGAAGGCTGAAGCGGAAAGGCAAAGCGGAAGGAAACTAAAAGTACTAAGGACGGACAATGGTGGCGAGTTCATCAATCAAAAGTTCAAGAGCTACTTGAAGTCAAAGGGCATTCGGCAGCAACTAACGGTGCCGCACACTCCTCAACACAACAGCATAGCAGAGCGGGTGAACCGATCTCTACTGGAAAGCGTAAGAAGCATGCTGGCGGATAGCGGACTGCCTCTACACTATTGGGGTGACGCACTCGGCATGGCATGTTGGCTGAAAAATCGACTACCGACTAAGGGACTTGTAGCCGACATCACACCCCACGAGGCGTTCTACAAGCGCAAGCCAAACCTGGAGTTCTTACGTGTATGGGGCTGCATGGTGCAGTACCGGGAGCCGGCGGGACCCGACCACAAGCTCCTACCTCGAACCAAGTGGGGAATCTACTTGGGAATCTGCCCAGAGAGCAAAGGTTGGATTATAAGGGATGTGGAGACAGGCAAGGTGACAGCAACCAGAGATGTCACCTTCTACGAGTTTGACACCTACTTGGAGTGGAAGGGAATGAAGACGGGGGCTGCAGCTGAGAACAAACGAGCAACAAAGGAACCGACGGCAGCAGCACCATCTCCGGTTGAGGAGATGATGGATGTGAATGACACGGAAGGAATTGGGGCAGCAAATGATTACACTGAAGATGAAGACTACGACGACTACCCAACTGCAGGGGTGGATTGGGTGTGGGAGGTCCCGGAGCAGCCAGCACCACCCAAGGAACCAAAGGATGAAAGGGAGCGCAACCAGGAAAAGGAAAGAACTGGTGGGATCCATGGAGAGAGTGCTGACCAAGATGAAGCAGAAAATCAGCATGGGCATGATGGAGAGGAAGAAGTGGACGACGCTACAAGCTCGGACCACACCAACCCGTGGAAGCTGATCAATTCAAAAAGCAATGACAAGGCAGCAGCAGAAATTGAAGGCCTACTTGAGGAAGGCGCTATTCTCATCGGACGGGAACTTGATGAAGACTCAGTGGAGCAAGGGCTAAACAATGGAGCTGTAGCCCAAATGGGTGGAGCTGAAAAAAGGAAGGAAGAATTGGGCAGAGGGAAACGGGTAAAGAAACCCACTCCCCGGTATGCCCAAATCCTCATGACACCATGGAAGGATGTTCATACTCACCTTCTACTCACCATGTCGGCAACCGCACTTGTCTCCAAGGAGAGGAGGAAGGCATACAACCTGCCCTCCGAGCCAGTCACAGTTGAAGAAGCGTTGACCGGTCCCTATCGGAAGCAGTGGTGGGCAGCAATACAAGAAGAGCTGAACACACTTGCGGAAAGAGGAACGTGGGAGATGGTGCACATGCCGGCTGGAAGAAACTCTGTGGGAGTTCGCTGGATTTTCAAGATCAAAACTGGAGATATGGGGCAGCTTGAACGCTTCAAGGCCCGACTTGTTGCAAAGGGATATACTCAAGTGCAGGGAGAGGACTACACAGATACCTACGCACCCGTGAGCAAGCTGACCACAGCAAGGACGATGCTGAAAGTGGTAGCGGCACGTGGGTACTTTATGGTTCAACTCGATATCAAGAATGCCTACCTTTATGGCGTCTTGAAGGAAGATGTCTACATGGAGCAACCGCCAGGTTTTGAGGACGGCACGGACAGAAAATGCAAACTAATCAAAGCTCTCTATGGACTGAAACAAAGCCCTAGGGAATGGTACCAAACCATGGATGCACAGCTGATGAAGGGCGACTTCGTCAAGAGCCAATGCGACCGAGCGTTCTACTGGAAGGGAGAAGGAGAAGACAAGGTCTTCCTACTGCTCTACGTCGATGACATCCTAGTGGCGGGAGCAAAGGAGGAGAGAGTGGAGGAGGTGTGCGCTCACCTTGCAGCAGTGTTCCAAGTGAAGAAGATCCCAAGAGCATCTCTCTTCCTTGGGATGAATCTGGAGCGGAATAAGGAGGAGAAGAAGTTGCTGCTATACCAAAAGAAATACTGCCAGAGGTTGCGGGAGAGGTTTGGAGGGCACGGCACATCAAAAGTGGTGTCAACACCTCTCAGCAGCCTTGCACACAAAGAAGTGGATGTAAAGGCAGAGATTGAGACATGGGGCAGCAAGGAACGGGCACTCAAGGCTTACCAATCTATGGTGGGCTCCGTCATGTATCCCGTCTCCTGCACACGCGTGGATATGGCATATGCAGCAAGTTTCCTTGGGCAAAATGTGTTGCAGCCCGAAGGACGCAAATGGAAGGAGATGGAACGGACCATTGCTTACCTCTTGCAACAAGAGGAAGAAGGACTTCTGTTTGAGGGAGGAGAGGAAACCCTAGAACTTGTTGGTTATGCCGATGCCTCACATGCATCGGATAAAGAGACGAGGAGAGGAGGCTATGGTTACGTCTACCTTCTTGGAGGAACGGCCATCATGTGGCAAGCAAAGAAGCTGACCGACATCGCCCTTTCAAGCGCAGAAGCTGAATATATGGCGCTATTTTATGCATGCCAAGAGGGTGTGTGGCTGAGGCGTCTACTGCAAGAGATGGGGATCACCATCAACGGTCCTACAACAATCAAAACGGACAGCCAATCAGCCATCGACCTTGCGAGGAACGACAACTGGCACGGACGGACGAAACACATGGACGTCAAGTATCATTGGGTGCGAGAGATGTTGCAGAAAAAGACATTCGAGTTCGTGCACGTGCGGACAGAGGAGCAACCTGCGGATTTCCTCACCAAGGTGCTACCAAAAGCTAATCATCACCATTGCAAGGACCTTGTTGGTATTCGTACCTTCAAGAACGTGCAGGGGAGTAGCGGAGCAGTAATGAAGGCCACAATCCCAAGCGAAGTACGCGGACAAGAGATGGTGACGAAATTAGGTCACATGGTGACCAAGGGAGCATCCAAGTGGGACAGCTAGCGAACCACAGGGGAGGTTGTTAGGGTGGTTCGCCACTGCCCTACTGTCCTATTCCTATGCCTAATGAGGATGCAGCGATGCTAAGGACGGTGTGAGGACCGCCCATCTCGTTCCAAGGAAAGTGGTGTTGAAATAGCAAGGCGGATGTCAAGGGAAAGAATGACGACGGGAAGAAAAACGGGAATCCTAACTGCAGCGGCGGAAGTGGCGGAACAGCGGTGGAGCTAGGAAAATCAGCAAGGAAGAAATTGAAGAAATCGGTAGAAGAAAACCTAAGAAAATAAGGTGCTTGAGGTTGCTCTAGGTGATGCGTGCGTGCGGGGAAACGGTAGATCTACTTTCTGTTGCCTTGCAGGAAACTCCAGCCAAGACCAGCGGGAGAAACAAGCTGTACGAAAATTCTCCAACACAGACCCGGAGCGCGTTCAGCTGAATTCCGGAGAACCGAACTCGGGGTCGGTTTCGGACTTGGTGTCGGTTACCGAAATCCGTTTCCGTGATTGCCAGAATTCCGTGGTTGGCAGAATTCCGTGGTTGCACAGTACACCAGCCGCGTTACGCGAACCGCGCAAGCTTTCTGCCTGCTTATAAATGCTTGTTTGTTTCTTGTTCAAATACAACTCATTTTTCAGTGCAAATTCTCCCCTAGAAACTGCTGAAACTTTCTACGTCAACTCAGTCTCTCCAACGTCAGCCGGAGGCGCTTGCGAACCTATACGCCTAACGCATATCCGCGCCTTGCGCCTGTCCGCGCCTAACGCATATCCGCGCCTAACGCCTGTCCGCGCCTTGCGCCTGTCCGCGCCTAACGCATATCCGCGCCTAGCGCCTGTCCGCGCCCACATGCCGTTGCTCGTCGCCTTGCGCCTCCTCGCGCTGCTGAGCATCGTCGGTCGCACGCACGCACAAGGCGAATCAGGACTGGAGCACGCCATGTCCTTATATCGGGTACGACTCTTGTAACGATCGGAAAAGCTGGCATTCGGGTGTGGCGATCCGAGTCACCTGTTCGCCTTCAGTGCGCACCAGGCCCATCCCGCGGCTCTCCACCCAGCAGGCGCCAGCTTCAGCCCTCGCCGCTCTCCGTCGCTCCCTCAGCCCGCCCCGCCCGCCCCAACCTTCCCGCACGCCTGTCGTTTGCCTCGTGCGTCACGCCGCGTGCCCAAAGCAGCGCACTCCGACAATGATACGCGCGGCGGGATAGGCAGCGGCTGAGGAGGGGGAGGTGGAGACGCGGCGATGCAGCGCGCACCACAGCATGTGGCGCCATCTCCATTCCCGCTAACGCCCTTCCCCTCCTCTTCGTTCTCTCGCGTCATCGTGCCTTCCCAAGTTCCCACAGCCCCCCTCCCTCCTCTCCCCCCATCCCTGGGCATCCAAAAGCAGCGTGCTGTCTGCAGGGCAACTCACCTCCATGCGTCCTGTTGAACCTCCCCTCTCATATCTCGTGCTTCTCCTCTCTCCTCTCCTCCCCCACATCTCCTCCGTGACCCTCTCCTTCCCTACCATGGCCTGCTCGTGGACTCCCTTCATTTCTCGCATCTTCCCTCGCTCCCCTTTCTTCGCCCCCCACCTTCTTACCCTCTCTTTCCCTATCCCAGATGCATGGGAACTGCCTGGGGGCTGCATTCAACTCCCCCCCTCACCACCCCCATTTTAATCCCCCTCATCCCCGCTCCTTCCCCGCTCCTTCCCCGCTCCTTCCCCGCTCCTTCCCCGCTCCTTCCCCGCTCCTTCCCCGCTCCTTCCCACCTTCCCCCCCCCCACCAAGGCATGGGAGTCTGCCTACGGTCTGCAGGGCGCCGCCCTTATTTCTAGCAATGCCCCCCCCTCCGTCTCCTTCAATACCCAGGCATGGGAGTCCGCCTACGGTCTGCAGGGCGCCTCCCCCCTTCCCCCCTCCGCCATCGCCCTCCCCCCATCCGTGCCCCCCCCGCCCCACCTGGAGGCCTGCAGCGCGCGCACTGCGTGGCGCAGGAGGCAGGAGAGGAGGGGGCCACAGGGGGAGTTGCCTGCTTGGGCGAGTCTGGCGCACCCCCAGGCGCCTTGGGTGAGTGGGGGGCAAGTGGAGGGTCAAAGCAGAGGGCCGTCGTCACCTGGACGTGTGCAGCGCGCGCACTGCCTGGTGCAGCGCACACGAGAGGACGGGGGTTGCAGTGAGATGCGAACAGGTTGGAACTGCGCTCCTTGCCATGTCTCCGCTCCTTGCCATGTCTCCGCTCCTTGCCATGTCTCCGCTCCTTGCCATGTCTCCGCTCCTTGCCATGTCTCCGCTCCTTGCCATGTCTCCGCTCCTTGCCATGTCTCCGCTCCTTGCCATGTCTCCGCTCCTTGCCATGTCTCCGCTCCTTGCCATGTCTCCGCTCCTTGCCATGTCTCCGCTCCTTGCCATGTCTCCGCTTTCCTCTGTGCGTGACCCCGTGCCCCTGCGTGCGCTCTGCATTGAGGGGCGCAAGCAGAGGCAAGCAGGGGCATGTCTATGTTTTCTCTGTGGGAGAGGAGGAAGGAGAGGGGGGGGGGGGAAGGGGGGGGGGCTGGGGGGGCTGTGCGGGAGAGGACTCATCACGGGATCATGGCCGCAAAAGGTGCACCATCAGTTGCCTCAGTGCAGAGCGCACGCAGGGGCACGGGGTCACGAGCAGTACAAGGCTGTCACGGGGCAAGTGGAGACATGGCAGTACAAGGCTGTCCATGTTCCCTGTGCCCGCCTGCTCATGCTGCTCCCGGTCATTGTGGTCAGGGGCACGGAGTCACGAGCAGAGACAAGCAGGGGCATGGCTGTCCATGTTTTCTGCGCCTGCTCTTCCTGCTCTTCCTGCTCTTCCTGCTCTTCCTGCTCTTCCTGCTCTTCCTGCTCTTCCTGCTCTTCCTGCTCTTCCTGCTCTTCCTGCTCTTTCTGCTCTTCCTGTTCCCGGTCATTGTATGTGTGCGTGCTCCTGGAGGGCTACCCCGTTCCATATCATGCCAGTGGCACGCAGCATGCCAGTGGCGCGCACCATGCCAGTGGCGCATCATGCCAGTGGCGCATCATGCCAGTGGCGCGCATCATGCCACGCAGTGGTAGCTTGCACGCCAGAGCCAAACAGCTGTGTCCCGCCCGGCAGCTCCTCTGATGGTCACCTTTTTCCGCAATGCACACCACCTGCCGCCTCTACTCGCCTCCTCCACGTTAGTGGTTCTGTATTCACCTCTCTTCGCTTTCTCTCCCGCTCTTCGCTCGCTACTCCTCTCTCCACTCTCTCCCCAGGTGAGAGGGTCAGATGCCTCCAATCTAGCGCACACGGGGGAGGCTCATCGGGACATCCAACAGCCCCAGTTTCTTATTCTCCTCTCTCTTTCCCCTCTCCCACTTCTCACCTCTTCCCGCAGATCAGAGGGTCAGATGCAGCGAATCTTGGGCGCACCAGAGAAGCCCAGAGGGACATCTGGCAGCACCAGTTCCCCCCCGGCAACTGCAGCGGGGAGAGGCTGCTGGTGGTGGACTGGCCGGCCTCCCAGCACGGCATGGGTTCGCAGCTGCACATCCTCAGCGCTGTCTTGAGCCTGGCTATGAGGCACGACAGGGTCCTGGTCCCTACAGCCACTTTTGAGAGGGCGAACCACGCTGAATGCAACGGTGGGTGAAGAGTGCATCAACACATTGACGTTTGAAGAGCGGGGCTGATTTTTTGTTGGCACCTTTGACGCATCTCTACTCCCGTTTTTTCCCCACTTTCTCCCTTCCACCCTCTATCGTTTATCACACTGTATCTTCTGCCATCTGCCCTCTCCCCTCCCCACTCCCCGTTTCCCCCAGCCACCGGCGCCCTCTCCTCCTTCCACTGCTACTTCTTCCCGCTCGTCTCGCCAGCCTGCGAGAAGGCAGCAGCAGAGGCGGCAGCAGCAGGGCAGGTGCCCGCATGTGCACCGCAGGAGGAGGTGGCGAGGGATGCGGTGCTGGCGAGTGACAGCCGCGTGGCATGCTTCCATGGGGAGCCTTATAACGGGCTGGCGCTGGAGGCACTAGTTGTCAAGTGAGAGATACCCTCTAGTACGCACTCACACAGAGCCGTAGCCGTGTGTTGTGTGCTTCCATGGGGAGCTGCTCAACGGGCTGTTGCTGGGGGCGATGGTGGTCAAGTGATGTTAAAGGGTGGTGATAGGTGTTTTGGGCACACATGCACTACACACTCACCACGTGCTAGCCACATGGCGTGCTTCCAGGGGGAGCGTGCAATGGACTGTTGCTGGAGGCGATGGTGGTCAGGTTAGAGATGCGGCTTAGTGCGCACATGCACCCACATGCACCCACACATGCACACACACATGCACACACACATGCACACACACATGCACACACACATGCACACACACATGCACACGTATACACACACATACACACACATGCATGAACATACACACACACATACGCACACACGTACACACACATGCACACACACATGCACACACACATGCACGCACACATACACACACATGCACACACACATACACACGCGCACTCACATGCACATACATGCATACACACGTACACACACATGCACACATACATACTCACACATGCACACAAACGCACACATGCATGCATGGAAACACGCGTCCAGCTATGGATTCATGTGATGCTGCAGTGTGTGCGATCCATCACACTTCATTCTACCACTTCGCCTCTCCTTGCACGCGTGCAGACAGGGGTGGGGGGTGTGGTATGAGCTACCCATAACGCACTTCACTTCCCTCTAACACACGTTGGTCTATCCCCTCCCCTCGCTTGCTTTACAGGCGGTGGTGGGGCGTGTGGTACGAGCGATCAATCACAGTGGAGGTGCAGGGCAAGATGGCAGGCGAGGTGGATGTCATGCCGCATGTGAGATGGCATGGCGTATGTGAGATGGCATGGCGCATGTGAGATGGCATGGCGCATGTGAGATGGCATTGCGCATGCGAGATGGCATGCCGCATGTGAGATGGCATTGCGCATGTGAGATGGCATGCCGCATGTGAGAGGGCATGCTGCATGTGAGAGGGCATGCCGCATGTGAGATGGCATGCCGCATGTGAGATGGCATGCCGCATGTGAGAGGGCATGCTGCATGTGAGAGGGCATGCTGCATGTGAGAGGGCATGCTGCATGTGAGAGGGCATGGCGCATGTGAGTGGGCACGCTGCATGTGAGAGAGCATGCTGCATGTGAGAGGGCATGTTGCATGTGAGATGGCATAGTGCATGTGAGATGGCATGGCGCACGTGAGATGGCATGGCACATGTGAGATGGCGTGGCGCATGTGAGATGGCATGCCGCAAGTGAGATGGCATGCTGCATGTGAGATGGCATGCTGCATGTGAGAGGGTGTGTCGCATGTGAGATGGCATGGCGCGTGTGAGATGGCATGGCGCATGTGAGATGGCATGGTGCATGCGAGTTGGCATGCCACATGTGAGATGGCATGGCGCATCTGAGATGGCATGGCGCATGTGAGATGGCATGCCGCAAGTGAGATGGCATGCCGCAAGTGAGATGGCATGCTGCATGTGAGATGGTATGGCGCATGTGAGATGGCATGGCGCATGTGAGATGGCATGGCACATGTGAGAGGGAATGTCGCATGTGAGATGGCATGGCGCGTGTGAGATGGCATCGCGCATGTGAGATGGCATGGTGCATGTGAGATGGCATGCCGCATGTGAGGTGGCATGCCGCATGTGAGATGGCATGCCGCATGTGAGATGGCATGCCGCATGTGAGAGGGCATGCCGCAAGTGAGATGGCGTGCCGCATGTGAGATGAATTATGTGCAATGGTGCTGGTGATATCAGTTGTGTGCGATCGTGCATGTGTGACACAGATCTATGGGCCATGTGAAATGGGTGCCATGCTACGGTGCACTTGAGATGGTGAGCTGCATGTGAGTTGGCTTTCGGCATGTGCGACTGATGGTAAATGGTTGTGATGAGTTATGACATCGATTTTGCATGTGAGATGGCATGGTGCTTGTGAGATGAGATGATGGATGTGAGATGGAACAACAAGGTAGTGCATCGCTCCTGCGCTCGTATTCAATTGTCTTTCCTCATCTCTCCTGCACCCCTCACTCTCCTCTGTCTTCCCTCTCTTGCAGGTGCACTGGTGGCGGGCTCAGTCCCTTCGCTTCATGCTGCGTTGGCCCTCCCCTTACCTCTGCCACCTCTCCAACCGCCTGCGCCACACCTCCCTCTCGCTCTCCATCGCCACCCGCCTCTCCTCCTCCTCCGCCCTCCACTCGTCCCTCCTGCGCTCGCACCCCCACCTGCTGGACAAGCTGCTCAGGAATGCCCCGCCCTGCCATGCTGCTGCTGCTGGCAGCGTGGGAGGTGATGGGGCAATCAGCAGCAGGAAGAGGCTCGGTGGGGACATGGGCGTTGCAAGTGCTGTGGATAATACGAGTGCAGTTGCCCAAGGCATAACAGACAGAGGAGGCAGCAGTGCTGCAGAAGCGACAGAAGCGTTTAGCATACCCCGTAGCAGCAGCGATGCAAGCAGAGTGTTCCCATCCCAGCAGCACGTGCAGCAGGGGTGCACCCTAGAGGCCACTGCGTGGGCGAGGCAGGGGCTGGGGCTCTGCTCTGCCAGCAACATGGCTTGCAGCAACAGTGGTGACAGCGGCAGCAGCAGCAAAAGCAGCAGCAGCAGTAGTGGCAACGGCAGCAGCAACTCCGAGCTACCAGGTCATCTGGCAGGAGGAGTGGCTGAGGGACAAGAGTCTCGCAGCAAGTGGGGCATGGAGGGAGCATGGGAGGCGTACCTGCCGCGGCCCATAGTGAGTGTGCACGTGCGGCAGGGCGACAAGGGCAGTGAGATGGCGCTGCACTCCCTGCCAGCGCACATGTGGATGGCGTACCGCCTCAGAGGGCTGAACCCAGACCTGCGGCATGTGTGGCTCTCCTCTGAAATGCAGGTGCGGATGGGAGGGGTGGAGGTAGGACGTGGGTGAGGTATGGAATGATAGGGTGTAGTTTTTGGCTCAAAGTACATGACGAGCATGTGTGGCTATCTTGTGAAATGCAGGCATGTCAGGGCTGGAGTGGTGTTGTGGGGGGGTTGAGGGAGGTACAGGGGGATGGAGGGAGGTATTGGGGGATGGAAGGATAGAGGGGATGCAGGTAATACAAGGATGCAGGTGTTTGGGGGATGCAGGTGTTTGGGGGATGCAGGTGTTGTAGATGGATTACAGGTGGGCTGCGGAGGCCTTATTTCCATCAAGTCTGTAGGTTAGTACAACAAAACGAACCTCATAGGCGAGATTGCGTTTAGGAGAGAGTTTAGTGGAGCCCGGTTAGAAAATAAACTCAAGTCAAGTTTATGCAGCCAGCTTGAGAGTAGTTAACAGCAACGAAACTTGGTAAACTAGTTTCGGCTCTTGCGAGCCTTCATCAGTACAGGTCCGTCGAACTGATAACCAAGACAGTCATGCACGGCTAGATATACTCTATGCAACAGCTGAAGCTAACCAAAGGCAGAGGAAATGGGAGGGGTGGAATGCAGGTGTTTGGGGGATGCAGGTGTTTGGGGGATGCAGGTTCTGAGTTGGGGAAGGTTGGGATGATGAGCATGGTTGCAATCATGTGTGGTACCATGGTGGAATCCCTATGCATGAGTTTACGGCCTCTCAGGCATGCAGGGAAATAGAGAAATGCAGTGCTGTGAGTGGGTGAGTGCATCTCTTGCATGTGTGTTCACTTGAATGCACATATTGGCCTGAGGAACCGGTACTGCGCTCAGTCCGTTGTGCATGAGAGGCCGCCGGTCTCCGCCATGCTTGCCCATGCTAGTACCTTGTGTTTCCCGTTCCCATGATTGTTTCAGACGGTGATTGACCAAGCATCCAGATTTCGAGACTGGACATTTCTTCACTCCAACAATGTGCGCACCAACACCACGGCACGCCACTGGGATGTGGAGGAGAGCGCAGAGAGGCATGTGGTGGTGGGCACAAGCTTTGCAGAGCTCATCATTGCATCGCAATGTGACTTTTTCATTGGGGCTTTGGGTTCAAACTGGGTGAGAATGATAAATGAATTGCGCTCCACGAATGGGAGGCTGTTGAATGGATTTATTGCCATGAATCTCAAGGAGTTTTAGCACCATTTACTATCCACCATGAAAGGCTGGTGCACCTTGGTGCACCAAGACTGTTTACTGTCAAATTCTTGTACAGAAGCGTGAGTTCCCTGGATGCCTCCGTTGGCTTATTGCTCTGCATCTGTCCTCTCGGACTTGGGACACAAGGTCGGCGGCTCTACACCAATAGCAACACCGAGTCTTCAGCTACAGCTCCCCTTATTACGGTACAATTGGCATTCAATCGTCCTCCAGAATTTCCCCCTTTCCCACTCGGGTTTTGGCTTCCATGGCATATGTGTCAAACATATTTGAGTATGTTATATTAGGCTAGATAGGTGCATGCTCTTAGAGGGTACAACCATTTGAACAAAACCAACTTGTATGCCTCATTCTAGTCAACTTTTTACTCTGAGATGGTATCATGCGCTAGGCTAGGTCCTCCCCACCCACCCGCGCTTCCGCTCTCGTTCCTAGCCGCCCGTTCCTAGTCGCCCCTTAGCGCCCCACCGGCCCGTTAGCGCCCTCCAGGCCCCATTAGCGCCAACCAACGTTATATCAGGTGTTTGGGTGCAATCGTACCTCGCCGGGCTGAAGACCGAAGTCAAACGACAGGTAGCAGCGTCAAACTACGCGAACTACAGTGACGTCGTTTCAGCAGCGGAGCGCTTCGACATGGTCAACGCCGGGACACGACGGATGCACGTCGGCAGTACGCGACAGGGCGACCGCTCAGCTCACACCACGTTCGCTGACCCGATGGAAATCGACAGGTTCGACGGGCGGCCACGTCCGAAAAACACCAACTACACGTGTGATTTTTGCGGGGTGCCGGGCCATCGAATCTTCGACTGCAACAAAATGAAGGCCGCACGCGCAGAGTATCGGGCACGCAACAGTGGCGGAAATCTTTCGGCCAATCAGACGACAAAAAACGGGAGTCGCCAGAAATTGCGGATCTAGCTGGCGAAAAAGAAAAGATCCGGAAGCGGCCACGGAATTCTGGGAAAATTAACTTCGACGAAGCTGATTCGACGCGAGGAGGAAATGATGGGGAGAAAATCTCCACCCCACGACCAGTCTTCGCCAGGGAAAATCGCCGAGGAAAAATCCGACTCCGCGAAAAAAGACTCTGCCGAGACGGGGAAACTCCTTGAAGACCCAAGAAATTATAAGGATTCGTTAAAGCTATCCTATAAAGATGCTTTAATGAAAACTTATGATTCTCGAGGGGCTAGAGCCTTGGAGAAATTTCGGGAAGAACTCTAGAAGAAGCAGAAAGCTGTGGAGATTATACCGGTACCGGACAACTTGGGGAAAAAAATAAGGAGTGTGGAAAGAAGCCGACCTTTCCACAGAGTCAACGTCCTCTCCCGACACCAGCCCACAACGACTACCCGTTCCCAAGGGAAAGAGTCAGTAGAGCTGAAGCAGCTCAAGAAGAAGCTGGGGGTCTACAAGAAGCTGCAGAAACCCCGAACTCCTCCTTCGGATGCATCCAGTTCTTCGGCATCAACGACACGCACAGTCGTCAAGGAAACTCCGGGCCCTGGAGAAGAGTCGTTCTCCAAGCAGCCTCGGCCAGCTGCCAGCTCAGGAGTAGATATCAACAAAAAGGTGTGTACGGAGTATTGGGATGTACCCTATGACCCAATTAATGAAACTATCTTTGGGTACTCCGAGAAACGCCTGCCCCTCGTGCTCGAGGTCATCTGCAAAGGACGACGCCTCCAAGACTCGTGGACAGCGGAGCATCACACACCGTCTGCGACAAGGCAGTAATCGACCGACTTCGGGAAGAGTACAAGCCTTCAGGATTCTCTGCAACGATGGTGGATGGTAGCAAGTTACCAGTACACGGCGAAGCAGTGCTACAGCTACAAATCGGACCACTGCGCTGGAGACCTGCACTCCCCATCACCAACATCAAAGGGCTTGACTTGATCTTCGGGCGAGACTTCCTAAAAAGATTCAACCCCGAGATCAACTGGGTGAATCGCACCGCAAGCATCTACAACAATGGACGGAGAGTATAGCTACCCAACTGGGACGATACAGGAGATATCCCAGTGGAGACACTCGCACGCTTCGAGAAGGACGTGAAGCGAACCGACACCGGGTTCCTGGCGATAGCAACAGAGGTGGAAATCGACAAGGAAATGACCTCGGAGCTTCCAGGAAAAATCAAGGAATTGTTGACGGAGTTTCAAGACATTCTTCTTGACGATCTTCTGAACGAGCTACCGCCATACCGCACACATCAACACGAGATCGTGGAGGAACCGGGTTCGAAGCCGACCTTCCGAGCACCATATCGGCTCAGCCCTACGGAGCTGACCGACATGAAAAAACAGATCGAGTATCTCCTAGCCAAAGGACTCATCCGACCATCTACTTCGCCATACGGTGCCCCAGTGCTCTTCACACCGAAACCGGACAGAAGCCTGCGCATGTGCATCGATTACTGGGCTCTTAACAAGCAGACTATCAAAAATAAATATCCGATACCGCGAATCGATGACCTGCTTGACCAGCTTCGGGGAGCTACGGTATTTTCCAAATTGGATCTGCGGTCCGGATACTGGCAAATACGGATGGCGAACATCTCTATCCATAAAACTGCTATCCAAACTCGGTATGGATCGTACGAGTATCTGGTAATGCCGTTCGGACTCACCAACGCACCGGCAATATTCCAAGCCGAAATGAACCACATTCTACGACCACTTTTGGACGAGTGCGTGGTGGTGTACCTGGACGACATCCTCATCTACTCGCGCAAAATGAAGCAGCACGTCGAACACCTGCGACGCGTCTTCGAAATTCTCCGACGAGAACGATTCTACGTCAAATTGTCCAAGAGCGAATTCTCCCTCGAGAAAGTCCAATTCCTAGGACACATGGTGAGCGCTCAAGGAGTTCACGTCGATCCCCAAGAAGATCGAAGCCGTACGTGCGTGGAAGACACCCGAGAACGTGAAGGAGTTGCAGCAGTTCCTAGGCTTCGCTAATTACTACAACAGGTTCGTACCACAGTATGCAAAAATCGCAGCACCACTGACGAATCTGCTGAAGAAGAACACGCCCTATAAATGGGAGCTGAAGCATCAGGAAGCCATGGAGCAGCTGGAACAAGCACTCACGTCTGTACCAGTACTCATCCTGCCAGATCCCGAACGCGACTACGTCATCGAAGCTGATGCCAGCGACCAGGCAGTGGGAGCAGTCTTGATGCAAGACCAGGGGAATGGACTGCAACCAATCACCTACCTCAGCAAGAAACTACACGGGGCAGAACTAAACTACCCGATACACGGCAAAGAGGCCCTTGCTATTGTCATCGCCTTCAAAGCGTGGAGATGTTATCTCGAAGGACGAAGAACAACCGTCTACAGCGACCACTGCAGCCTTAAATATTTGAAGACACAACCGAATCTCTCTAGGCGACAGGTCCGGTGGATCGACTTCCTCGAGACACACTTCCACTACGACATCGTGTACAAGCCCGGCCACAAAAACAAAGCGGACACCCTTAGCCGGCCTGCACACATTGCCGCTATCCAAGTTGATGGGATGAATCCACTACTCAAGTGACTCTTCACCCACGGTTACTACATCGACCCCGAAATTCCCTTGGCAGAAAAGCAATGCCTACTACAGTGGGACAGTGACATCGCGTACCGGAAAGGATAAACGAAAATCTGGATACCAAATTACCCTCCTTTGCGCCAGTTACTACTCGAAGAATACCGCGACGTTCTATAGGCTGGACACTTCGGTAGCAACAAGACGCTGACCGGTATCGTGAAGCACTACTACTGGCCCCACTTGGCGGAAGATGTTCAGAAATTCGTCACCTCGTGTGATACATGTCAACGGATGAAGAGTAGCAAGCAGAAGAGGGCGGGACTGCTACAGCCTCTTCCTGTCCCAGAACAACCATGGCAAGTGGTTAGCCTGGATTTCATCACCGGGTTACCACCTACCACCTGTGGACATGACGCAATACTTGTCTTCATCCACAAATTCTCCAAAATGGGACACTTCATCCCGACACACACGACAGCACGCACCGAAGAGATGGCACAACTCTTTGTTCGGTACATCATCTCACAGCATGGCATTCCAACCACACTCATCTCCGACCGAGACCCCAAGTTCACCAGCAAGTTCTGGAAGGAACTCATGTCTCTGCTCGGGACCAAACTCGCCATGTCATCCGCCTATCATCCGCAGACAGACCGACAGACCGAGCGCCTCAACCTGATTGTTGAGCAACTCCTCCGAGCAGCCTGCAAGGACGAGATCTCCAAATGGGACTTGCACCTGCCCGTCCTAGATTTTGCTTACAATAATGCTACACATGCCGCTACTGGACAGACACCGTTCTTCCTCTACTACGGACGCCACCCACTCACACCACAGAAACCGACCACATCAGCAACAGTACAACCTGCACACGACTTCATCACAACCATGCATCAGCTTTGGGATCGGACCCACAAGCGCCTCCTTGACATCCAGCAGCAATAGAAGCGCCAGGCCGATCGCCACCGCAACGACCACACCATCACCGTGGGCGACCAGGTGCTCCTTGACACCCGCAACCTTGACATCAGCCATCTCCCATCTAAACTTCGACCTCGCTTCTGCGGGCCTTTCCTCGTTGAAGCACAGGTCACTCCTGTTACCTTCCGCTTACGCCTGCCAGCTACCTGGAAGATCCACAACGCCTTCCATGTCCAACTGCTGAAGCCCTATTGGGATCCGAACACCATCTTTGTCGGACACCAACCGCCGCCGCCGCCACCCGTCCTCGTCCAGAATGAACCCGAGTACGAGGTCCAGTCCGTGCTTGCACACCGCCGTCGTCGGAATGGTTCCATCGAGCTTCTTATTCGTTGGAAGGGTTATGATCCTTCCGAGGACAGCTGGGTACCTGAGACCGACATGGGTAACGCCCGTCGTCCTCTGCATGACTACCTTGTCAAGCAGGGTGTTACTTCTGCCACTTTGCTTTGAGGGGGGAAGTGTGAGAGTACGACCCCGTTACACCACTTGTTCCTTCTTCTCTTTCCTTTCTATTTCATCTCTCTTTATCCCATCTCATTTGGTTTCCTATTCTCCATTTTCCATTATCCTTTGGTTTATTCTGTTATTCTAATTATATCACCGACCAGGCTCGGGATGTACTGGCGCGCTCTATGTAGAAAAAAAAAAGCGCCGAATAAACAGGCCCAACTACAGAAAACACGCTTTTCAAATACCACATGCCATTATTTGTCACAGGTCGTG